CTTTAAACTGATGTAATTTCTTTCATCCAGCTTTAAATTTTATAAATGAGGTACCAAAAGAAAGAAGAAAGATTAATCTTTCAAATGGTGAAAACGTCAATTTGACATAATTAATACATAATTAATTATTATGTAATTAGTTGCTATATTGAGATGTCCACATTTGAATGAAATTAGCTTCTTTGTTATTCTTAGCATCCCAAAATATTTTATAGATTCTTGTATAACACAGTTTGACCTCCAAAAGGGTGTCTCAGATTTTTCCTATTGTATTTCGTTCTCTCATAAACCAATGAAGTTTGCAACCTAAATTCATAAGAGATCACTAAATTTAATTGGGTATAAAATTTGTTCTATTGATGTTTTTGGAAATCTGAGACAACCTTTTGAAGATAACTGGTCAAGGAACAACATGTGTGAAAATCAGGCATATAGGGGCACCCATCTAGGAGCTAAATTCATTTAAAACCACATTTTCATGACAAAAATGAATGTGTCACAATTGAATAAATAAGGATTTTCCTACTTGTGCCCCATTAACTTCAATATAATTCACACATGTACCATTGGGATATTTCAGGATTCGCCTTCAATCATAAATCATTTAGGTTTTGACCAGTAAGAAAGCATTCAATTTCAGCAATTCTAAATATATAGAGAAAATGCACACCCTATGCATCAAAAACCAGATCTGGCAGGAGATGTTATATCATTATTGACCTTGTTGTAAGTCAGTTGCTACTGTTATGGTCAAAACTCCGCCCACCATGATAAACCTTTACTACTAATGATCTCAGAAGTTTAATTACACATTGCATTTACTTTTTTCAATATGGATTTTATTCATTTAGTACATAACATAATATATTTTGTTTTTTGATTGTTACAAAAAGTAAGTTATGCATGTGTTGGTCAGTTTAGGGGATCATTATGGGGCATTTTTAGAATTGTAATTGTATACAAGGAATTGTATATTTAAATATACAATTCCGTGTTGTATACAAGGACAATATGGTGTTTTACACAAAGTGGATTTTGTTCAATTTTGCAGTTTGAAAATGAAATATTTTATTTGTATTTTCTTTTAAAAAGAATTCATATCTAAACATTCTCCCCCAAGAAATTCCAGTACATTAATTGTTATACAATTACATTTGTTTAATTTCTGTACATTTATATTTTGATTCCCTCTATATCTCCAAATTGTTACTTTGTTTTTTTTCTCCTGGCAGCTCCATTAATGAAATGTATTTTTATTTGGAATTCATTATCTTCATTTTTCCATTAATCCCTAATCCACCTCTTTTTCGTAAAATTTGTATTGCTGGTCAGTGGTCATAAAGCTATCAAATGATTCTATTGATTAACCACCAAGTACTGCCCACATGTTCTTATCTTGTATCAGTCAGACAGTGCATTTGTTTATAAAACTAATTATCATCAACACTCATTAACAGTGCAAGATATGTAAATAAATTTTTCTTCTGTGGTTTTGGAATATTAAGAAGTAACAAAAACAGCTGAAAACGAAATTTTGATAAAATTTAGTTGCTTTTGTATTGTGCTACCTTAAACAAGATTTGAAAAATAGCTGTTTAGTGCATTTCACTCACAAGGTCAAAATCTATAAGTTGTCAAGTTCTGCTGGTAATTGAATATACAAGAGTCTATGCATATGCTTTTATAGCCGACTATTCAGTATGGATTTTTCTCATTGTTGAAGGCCTTACGGTTGCCTTTAATTGTTTACTTTAATTTTTTAATTTCACCTAAAGATTTAAAGTAAAAGTTCTTCCTTGCTTCATAAAAATATACTTCAATCGAATAAACCTTTTCACACTAAAATAAAACTACATGTACATTAAAATGTACGTTAAGTATATCTGTCCATATAATATCATTGCCAACTGGTACTCTCTTACGTCCATGTTTAGTATACCGTAAAATCCGAATATATCAAATGATTCAAAAAGATCACCCCTCAATACACATGTTTACTTTTTTCATGTTGATGAATAAAAATAATAACATTTCGATGCGACCAAATCTTCTTGGTTAACTACCTTAACAACAAAACTCAACTTGAGAACATTTATATGGTCAGTGACCGTGTCACCAGGGTCAAAATCGTTTTTGGCATATACAATTAAAATGTTCATCACATCATAGAATCATAAGGCACGGGTCATTCTTCTTTTGTGTGGTGGGGGGGGGGGGGGGGGGGGGGGGGGGGGGGGGGGGGGGGGGGGGGCTTGGTTTTTTTCTCGGGCCAAACAAACAATTCTTTTCAACTAAAATCAAAATAAAACTATTTTTTTCAATGACATACAGGAACAAGAATATTTTTTTTGGGACACTCAATCTTGTGTTTTTCTAAGGGAAAACAAACTGTTGTTTTCTCTTCCCTCCTGAAACAAATTATTTTCTTCAAGACATGTATAACCAAATAATTTGTTTAAACAACCCCACGCCCCAAACCCCCACCAGCACCACAAACACATGTGATAATATACCTTCATGTTAATAAAAATGCAAAAAAAAATAAAGTTAACCTGCTACGGGACGGACGAACACACTGGCCAGATAACACTAAATCCCCTTTAATCGTAAAAAGAGTATTGCTTTAAGAAAAAGTAATCTAATCTTAATTAACATTATATCACTATAAAAAATCTATGATTTAATACAGGAAAGGTCAGTCGATTATAAATAAGTTAAAGAATTAATCTGGTCGATTGTATAACTATTTGGGAATATCTTCTTAGAAAATCAGTTTCTGGTTTTCTAGCAGTCTTCTTTTCTTTTATTCTCCTGAGAGTTGTTTATACCATGGAAGTATTATATTGTCAATATAATACTTCCATGTTTATACCGACTAGGTAGTCCCTTGGAAGCGATCTCGCGGTGAGTGCGGGAGGCTGTTGGTTTTTTCTATGCATAGTTAAACAAGATTTGAAAAATAGCTGTTTAGTGCGTTTCACTCACAAGGTCAAAATCTATAAGTTGTCAAGTTCTGCTGGTAATTGAATATTAAAGAGTCTATATGCATATGCTTTTATAGCCGACTATTCAGTATGGGTTTTTCTCATTGTTGAAGGCCTTACGGTTGCCTTTAATTGTTTACATCAAATTCATTTGAACTTTGGTGGGAAGTTGTCTCGTTGGCAATCATACCACATCTCCTTATTTGTATACCATAGATGCCAAAAAGAATTTTTGCGACAACAGATTAAGATGCACATAGTTTTATGATGCAAAAAAAATTTGTAGATATTGTTATAAGGATGTTCGGACTCCTTGTTTTTTTTCCCTACGATACAGGGTAAACATTTTGCCCCATAACACTCATTTTTCTTTTCATATAAGACTTCAATAGCTCATAAAAGGTCATTTACCAAAATTAAAGCAGATTCTAGATTTCTTTTTTTTTTTCGATTTGAGACCCAAATAATACCAAATTGCAAATACAAGGTAAAAGTCAAAGTCAGCCTTTTCCTGCCATTTAAAAAAAAATATATCTCGAAAAGGAGCTCCATAACCTATCAATATTTTTAGCTTATTTTGTTCCTTAAATAATAATGCTCTTCCGACTTATAGTATTTATTCTAGATTTTTTTAATCTCACCTAAAGATTTTTGGCGCAAATGAAATGCCGATTGACGCAAATGCAAAGCGCCGATCGAAAGACATCGCTATCCATAACAAATATATGTGTATCCAAAAGTCAATAGATACCTTTACTTCCAACATATTTTTATAGTGGTTAACATTTATACATTTTTGGAAAAAAATGCTAAAAATTTGTCTTCGGCGTTTTGAAGCCTGTTCAGGAATAAGCAATAACAGTATAAGAACCTTAAAGTTCATACATTGGGCTTTGATTCTATGAATTTAAGTGAAGATTGAAAGACTTTAAGAATGGCAGTTGTGTAAATAAAATCAGGGGAATTTGGCCCTACTCCTTTAGAAAATATTATGTTGATTTACGCAGTAAAACGAGTGTTATAAAATACTTATTATATAATAATGTGGTGTGTGTGTGTGAAGGGAAATCTGCCTGTGATTTTTAGCACTGGACATTAAACACTTATCCAGTATTTATTCCATATATGTATGAAATCTATATGCATATCATTTGAAATGTTAATTTATTCAATGAATTTTTATTTTATGGTAACATTCACTCGGATCAGTTTCATGTCTCACATATATAAACGAGGGTTCTCAAAAGCACGGCATTGGTTACTTTTACTTGAGTTTCTTTTTCAGTATAGTTTTTAGAAAACATGTATGCAAATACATTACAGGGAGATTACAACATCTTATTTCATCTTTATTTCCAATTTTTGTATTCTCGTATTCTTTCGTCCGTATTTTCTACACAGCAGGACAAGTAAGTTCAATTATTGAAGCATTATAATTTGACTATAATAGTTCCATGGCTCAATTAAGATTTTTTGCATAATTATGGTAATGATTTTTGTTAACTTCTAAATCGTACAAGATTGTGTACACAGATGTGTGAATTTTATAAAACACCAAAGTGATATCCCACTGTTATATACTAACATCAAAAACTTAAAACAGAATTTTCATCAGAACATGCAGAGATGCTTAACAATTAACACCTGTGTGAAACAATCAGTAAAATCACGTTTATACCTATTACTGTCAGAACAGTAGATGTCTCCTTAGAACACTGACAAGTCTCATATACCATACCACATAGAAACAGTAGAAGTCTCCTAATAAAACCTAACAAGTCTCATATACCATACCACAAAGAACAGTAGATGTGTCCTTATAGACAATAACTAGTCTCATATACCATACCACATTGAACAGTAGATGTCTCCTTATAGACAATAACTAGTCTCATGTATCATACCACATTAACTATACTAATATAGATACTAAGAGTAGAAAAGGAAATGTTCTACTTGAATGGAACCCTTATCCTGCCATACTGGATACTTGATATCATACGCAAAACTTTATAATAACTATTCTAATTTTATTAACAAACTAATATACTAAGACACCATTGTATACACAGTATAATAGTATCATATTCACAATCAATTCTAAATCTAATATACTGAATACATATGAAAATAATAATAAATGTATCATTTGGCTTTCTAGGGGGCTACTCATTAAAACTTACAATAATACTAATTAAAATAACCAAATCAAAAACACTACCTACTCAACATAATTTTAAATTAATTAAAAAATAAATTGCCTAAATTATGCAATTTTAAGAACATGCAGTAGAGCCCTGACAGGTGAAAAATTTATTTTAGAACCTGACTGGTAGAACCCAGACAGGTATAAATTTGAAAAATGAGAATACCTGCGGTAGATCCCAACAGGTACTTTTAGAACCTGAGTGGTAGATCCCAGACAAGTATGAATTTTGAAAACTGAGAATACCTGCGGTAGATCCCAACAGGTACTTTTAGAACCTGAATGGTAGAGCCCAGACAAGTATGAATTTTGAAAAATGAGAATACCTGCGGTAGATCCCAACAGGTACTTTTAGAACATGAGTGGTAGAGCCCAGACAAGTATGAATTTTGAAAACTGAGAATTCCTGCGGTAGATCCCAACAGGTACTTTAAGAACCTGACTGGTAGAACCCAGACAAGTATAAATTTTGAAAAATGAGAATTCCTGCGGTAGATCCCAACAGGTACTTTTAGAACCTGAGTGGTAGAGCTCAGACAAGTATGAATTTTGAAAAATGAGAATTCCTGTGGTAGATCCCAACAGGTACTATTAGAACCTGACTGGTAGAGCCCAGACGGGTATAAATTTGAAAAAAGAGAATTCCTGCGGTAGATCCCAACAGGTACAAAAACTAACTTAATTATCACCCTTAAATAAAACAAAGCCTTAATAATTTATAAGATGTATTAATGAATTGGGGGAAAATAATTTCCCTGAAATTAAGTAGGCCAAATTGAACGAGTTGCATGAGTGAAAGCCCCAAGAAATGATACATGTACATATATATAGATTCAATATACCATTAGAAAGAAAAAGTACTTGAATATAATTTCATGTATGAAAATGAAAACAAACAAAAAAAAGAAATAACTACAATACTAAAATAATTAACAAAATGTAGTTCTTATAACTCCTTTGATATAGAACAAAACATGTATAAAAAAAAAAAATTAGGAACGACACATTCTGCTTTGTGCTTTACAAACAGTTTTTGGGTCAGTTCCAATGTAACGTATATAACAATAGGATGACCATCTACCTATAGCTAATGTCTGGATAATATGATCCTCAACCCCTGCTGCTGCTGCTGATGTAGCAGCACCAATTTGAAAAGAATGACCACAAAATTGTCTATCATTATACCCTAATCTGAACAGCAAATCTCGAAGCAGAGATATAAATGTATCTCTAGACAAAGGAGCGTTATTATACTCATCACTAACAAATAAATAGGAATCTGGTCTAGCTCCATTTTTTTTTTTTTTTTTTTTTTTACTTGTATATATCTTCTCATCAAATCAACTGGGTTGAAAATATCATTTTCAAAAATAGTAATGTTAATACCTTCTCGAAATGGGTCACATTTGGAGGAATTTAGATGTAATGTGAAATTTTGAAAATTTATGTCTAAATTAATATTTTGAATTAAAAGTGTGTCCTGCCTTGCAATTTTACTACTATACGTAAATTCACCACATTGGAGAAATCCCCAAAAAGCTAGATTAAATGCGCACTGCAACATTAAGTCAACAAATGGAGAAAAAACTCCTTGCTTAAACATACAGCACAATTGTTTCAAAATTTGAGATGTTATAGGTAATCTCTTTTGTTTAACATTACTCTGAGACTTTTTAATACCTCTTAATATACAGTCTAAGCGTGCACAATTTGTCAAAGGGTCAGGATGCCCTATTCTTAAGTAATTATGCCTAATTCCTGCTAAATACAATTTAATTGTAGCATGGGCTAGCTTAAGAGAATTCTTGCAATAGGTTACAAAATAAATTAAACAATCTTCATCTATTATTGGCACACTATTTATATGATTCTGATTAGTCATAGCCATAAATGTTTTAAAACATAGAAAACCAGAATTATAAGTATGCCTAGAAACCTGTGATAGAACCCAGATAGGTTAAACAATACTTGAATACTGTAGTAAAACCCTGATAAGTGAGACATATAACAACATGTGGTAGAACCCAGATAGGCGAAAATGCAATAACATTTGGTAGAACCAAGAAAGGTAAAAATTCTTGAGACTGCATAAATAAAGCAGGTCTGCAAGCCTTGCTATGTACAATGTACGTAATGTGATACAATGTTTACTGGATTGATTGATTGATTGTTGGTTGCATAACGTCCCAATGTTCACTGGATATATGAATGTTGAATCCTGCACAGCTGAATCTGCCAGATACCATAACCTTGAATTAATAAAGGCAACAGTAGTATACCGCTGTTCGAAACTCATAAATCAATAGAGATAAAAACAAATCCGGGTTACAAACTAAAACTGAGGGAAACGCATCAAATATAAGAGGAGAACAACGACACAACAAAAACACAACATTAAAATGTAACACACACAGAAACGAACTATAATATAACAATGGCCATTTTCCTGACTTGGTACAGGACATTTTAAGAAAAAAATGGTGGGTTGAACCTGGTTTTGTGGCATGCCAAACCTCCCGCTTTTATGGCAACGTCAAACACAACACCAAAACGACAACATCACATGACAGGACCACAATACAAATAAATGGGAGAACATATAGGACAAAGAAACACACGAATAATAGCTAGCAGAAGGTACTAGGCTTAAAATTCAATACGCCAGACGTGCGTCTCGTCCACACAAGACTAACCAGTGACGCTCAGATAAAAAAAGTTTGAAAGCCAAAACAAGTACAAAGCTGAAGAGCACCAAGGACCAAAACTTCCAAAAAGTTGCGCCTAACACAGCCAGGATTTTCTGCCTGGGACAAGAACATCCTTATTATTTAGAATAATTTATAATTTTGCAAACAGTAAATATTATAAAATGACTATAAAATAGATATACATGATAAAACCAAAGTGGGGACTAACTACAGAATAAAAACGGATACATTACATAAAACAACTTAATCCAACATGTAAAAATACACAGCCGAGTTAGCTAAAGCCTCAACGCACAAAGTGACGTCACATTTGAAATTCTAAAAAAACACACAAAGTGACGTCACATATGAATTTGTAAAAATATTTCCCAAAAATAAGATAGGATTAGGATTGATTCAAGATAGATTTGTAATACTGCCATTATATTTATTAATAACAATGAAAATTACAATACTTATTAATATCAAATTGAGTTCACTTGTACTGACAAGTCGTCTAGCACTCCTCAGGCGGATTTATAGTTACAATTTCACCTACTATCATTCCTTGAGAACCATAAACAGCATTCCAGCTGAGACTATTATACCATAAATAATAGTCCCAATTACTGCTGAAATATAAAACTTAAAGCAGTATCATGTCGTAAACATTTGGTCCAACCTAAACAGGTGGAAATAATATATGAACCTGTGATACTCCCAGACAGGAAAAAATTCTGGAAAATGTAGTATAACCCTGACAGTTGAAAACATGCAATATCCAGAACCCAGACAGGTAAAAAATTCTTGAAACCTATTGAAGCTAGAACCCTGATAGGTGAACATTAAAAAACATACATGTGTAAGACACCTGTGGTTGATAAAAGACAGGTGTTTTTGATGAGAATTCCTCAGGTAGATTTTTACAAATACTCAGGCTAGACGGTAAGGTACTCACCCCTGCATGATTGATTGATTGATTATTGTTTGCTTAACTCCAGTGGCAATTCTGCATGAAAGCCTGATATTAATCCACCATTTCAACTACTTAAAAATCCATAGTACGGATGGTCAATCAAATATTCTGATAAACTGTTAATTTTAAAGTGGAAACTGAAAAGTCAAAACTGACATGGGGATCTAAAATGTCTTAAGTTGCCAGATCTGATACTCTGGGGCCCATATAGTTCTCGTTTTTTGTCAGTATATACATATGTTTTAGATTTCCCCTTTACAAATCGAACAAACATGACTATTGCAGCATCTCATAGTTGCACATCCTCTGATACCTCTGAAAATATTAAAAATTTTCCAACCTAAAAGAAATATTCTGTCTCTTACACGATTAGTTATTCCTTACTCTTGTGCTTATAAGACTGTTGCAAAACCAGGAGTGGGAAATGTGTTACCACACAGGTTTGGATGAGTATTCGCGAAAAAATGATACAAAAGAAAGTAGTGTTTATAGTAGACAACTCTGCTGCTATGTTGTAAAAAGGCAAATGAGCTGCACATTAACCGTACAGATATTCGTAGAAACCCATACCTGGGTAATAAGTGGTCAAATCTACGTGATCCCTCCTATAGAAATCACATTACTTCTCCATCGGGGAAAAACAAGAGCACGTTACTATATTTAATGTACTAAAAACTTGAATAAACTTCCCTTCTTGATGAAGACCTAGTGAGCCTAGGAATAGATTTGTTATGTATTGCCCCAATTGAAGTTTCATTTTTTCAGACCCGGCATAATAACGGTTGAGTAAGAAGTTCGTACCTGACGTGATATTTTCCTCAGTGGGGAGAAAGGCAGTGATTCAGCTGCATATCACCTTGTATTCCGGACAACAAACACTTCCTGGTTTTTCTACCAGCTGCAGTCTTTGATAGAGTATTTCTAGTGAAGGCTGCATATCCTGATCCTTCGTATGCTTACTCCAGGTTGTAGGGATTCCTCCAATTGTTGGAAGTACACCACTAATTCATGGCCCCATTGCTTTCTATGTTAAATTCCTCAATTTCAATCAGACACAGCTCTTTTGTTTCAAGTTCAAATAAAGTGACAATCATTGCATGTCAAAGCAACACTTTATGGTGTCTTGTACTGGAAAAATCAACATACCTTTAATGGCATATAAGAAAGAACTGGTTCCCGGAACTTCGGATTTACCAAAACAGGTACTTCAGATCTGACATACAGGCAAAAAGTACCCTCTTTATAAAATTTAGTGCAGTTTTTTAATATTCAAAATTATAAGTCAAAAAGTGTTCTACAATGATCACCAGTCATTCAGCTTTCATTTGATACCAACAATACCTAAATATTCTACATATTTTGAAAGTTACACTCATGCGTAGGTACTATTTTGTGTTAAATATGTACTACTTTCTGGTATGTGCTTTCTGGCCGGGCCGAATTAGTGGTGTTACACCTATAACAGAACCAAACTTGCTATACTGACTTCAGCATCACTTTATTTCATTCTATGATCTATTTCAAGCAATAAAAAACACATAAAGCTTAAGTCCAAATACTATTTTACTAATTTTAAGCTCAAATTGGACTGGTAGTAACATATAGGTTATTCAAAGAAAACTGCATATGGATATTATAAATGGCCAATATACTTATTTTATTCTCAATATCATTGTTGTATTTAATAATTTATGTTAGGAAAACAATGTGCTTACCAATAGTCATATTTCACTAGAGTTTGTTCGTTTAATA